ATGAGCATTTTTCCTTAAGACAACTATCATGCGAGGCATACTTTATACATATTTCCCATTTCATAAACAGATTAAAAAGCATGCAATCACAGATTGAGACTTCATGAAAATAATTTTCACTGCGACAAGGGCACTGTTAAGTGAAACTGCAGTTTGTTTAAACTGTCAGTGGAAGAATGTAAAGCTTACGATGACTGGTAGCTTGTTGCCACTGCCTTCATTCATGATCAAAAAGACGGTTTTTCTCACATCTGCTTTTGCACCATCAGTGCATGCAGCGACACTGCTGTATCACTTGGATCTCTACAGCACGTGAAGGAGCATGGTTCACCAGCACGTGCTTTTGGGCACTTGACTATTTTTACTGGGCTATCAAAACAAACAAAAACAAACACCCTCCTACAGAGTTGACAAAAGGACTGAGATGTGAAAAACATTTTACACCTTGTGTAGCATCATCAAAATCTAAGTACTTAATAGAACTTGCAATGAAGGGTATCAGTGGATAATCTTTGATTTTACCCTGAAAATCCACCTGGTGGTGACAAATTTTATATAATCTGCTACTGTGGTTTCTCTTACCAGCAATCTTTACAGGTCTACCTTAATCCAGACTCTTCCAATCACAGAGATACCAAACTGCTTCATGAATCACAAATGGTGCGGTCACCTGATCACATCTACTCGGACCAATCAAACTTATTTAGTACTTATTTAGTACGTTCACATCAAGTATGCTGGAGCTTGTTTATTTGTTTCATGTGAATAATGCGGTCATCACTCTCTGCTTCCAAAACTGTTCCTTTCTCCTACCCTTGTACACTCCTGAAATGAAACACTACCCCAATTCAGTCTTTGATGGCTACCCAAGTAAAATAACCTTTCCTCCTGTTAATACCGGGCACCGAATGCCTTAAGTTACTTTGTATCTTCTCTATTTTTCCCTAACTAGACTGTAACTTACTAAAAGGCAGACATTAACATTTCTCTTCATCTCTGGTATCAGCACAATGCATTCAGCCTGGCTCCTGGTCCTGTTACCTGTACTCTGCTCGACACCAGCATCAGTGAAGCAGACCTCGAGACCTATGCTTTATAGACCTAGGATATACAACTGGCGGGACAAGGTCATTAACATCACAGCCTAGAGTACAACTACTCTACTGGCAAAAACCATACTTCTCCAACATGTGTTTTTGAGAGTCAAACAATGTATAATAATGAATACTAAGTTGCATAAATCATCTATTTAAAGCACAAAGAAACATACAATGTACAACATAAAAAAAAAAAAACACTAAAATGAGTTATTTGAGCTGAAACAATGTAAAAAGCCTAAATCTTAGATCCCAGATGACATAAAGGAACAAGAGCCCCGAGGCACAGCATGACTTTATTCAAAAGTCACACTAGGGCTAGCATCTGGCCTCCTGTTTGGGACGCCATGTGGGTCCTGGTATTTAAGCAAGCTGTCTCCAGCTCCCAGTCCAGTTTCCTGATAATGCAGAGGCTCAGAGGTAGCATTACTCAGGGCCTAGGTAGTTCAGCTCCTGCCGCCCAAGTGGCCCACCTAGACTGAATCTGTGGCTCCTAGCTTCAGCTGAGTCACGACTACTCTAAGCCCTGGGGAATAAACCAGGAGATGGGAGCTCTGTCTCCTCTACAAGCTAAGCTAGCCAACAAATAAAAGTTCTGTACTGAAAAAGCAAGAGCAAATGAAGGTGGTACTATCAGGTGATACAAAGAACATAGATTTCAGTACCATAAGCTGGACTCAAATCCTACTTCAGAAATTTAATGAAATTATTGAACTCACAAATCCATCTACACTTTGGAGCCCTTATCTGTAAAATGGGGTTATTACTACATGCCCAGTAGTTTTTGAGCAGATTAGATATAAAGAAAAATAGGGGAGTATATAGACTTTCATAACAGATGGGTCTGTATTACAGCTGAACACATATTTTATAGGTAATTAGTTAACATAACTTAAGACTCAAGTTTCCTACTTTAAGATTCATTCTTAATTTGAAAGTCATAGAGCTCCAGAGAGAAAAGAGGAAGAGTAAAAGCTTCCATTTGTTAGTTTACTCCCCGAGGGTTGCGGTGTCAGGGTCTGGCTGTGCCAGACTGAAGAACTTTATTTAGTTTTTCTATGTGGGTGCTAAGGGTCCAAACACTTAGGGCATCTTCTACTGCTTTCCCAGGACATTAACAGGGAGCTGGATCAGAAGTAGGTTGCTGGAGTTGCAGGCAGTGACTTCGCCTGCTTTGTGACAACACTGGCCCTGGGCTGCTCATTTTTAAGACAGATAAAATCCCATCTCCTCAAAGTTTTTGTGAGGGATGTGTGCTGTGGTACTGCTCTAAGCTGCTGCTTGGTATGCCTACATCCTATACCACAGGGCAGTTTGAGTCCATTCTCCTACTTCTGACCCAGCCTCTTGCTAATGTACCGCGGAAGGCAGCAAAGGATGGTCCATATACTTGGATTCCTGCTACCTACATCGAGTTCTAGCTCTTGCGCTTCAGTCTAGCTCAACCCTGGTTTGTTGTGGGCATCTGGTGGGTGAACCAGAGTGTGGAAGACGTCTGTCACTTTGCCTTTCAAGTAAATAAATCTTAAAAAAAAAAAAAAAAAAAGAAAAAGAAATAAGAAAGAAAACACAGAGTGGCCTCTGGTGAGGATAAATAAAACAATGCCTGTAAGGCCTTAAAAGTACATATAATGCTTATTAAGTTTTCTCTTTACTGGGTATATGTAGATAAATTCAATATATACAAATACACCCCCCCCGCACGATACCTACTGTATTATACTTAATATATGTCAACTATTTTATTTATATATATCAACAATAAAAAAATTCAGAACAACGATTATAAATATTGAACTCCACAAGCAAGGATACACCAGGTGCGCAATGTGTAAAGTGTTATCAGACATTTCAAATATTCACTCTGAAAACTCATAGTTCTTAAATTACATGCTCATTTACTAAAATCATTTACCAATTTTCTACTTAGGGCAAAAATATAAATTTATTTCTTACGACTACACTTGATTTCAAGCTACTTTACTTGCAGCTTTCTTGGCTCTAGATAAATTGCACTGGATTATGGATAGGAGAACTAACTAACCACTTCTTCAAAGACACTTTGAAATTGCAATTGTAGTGGGGCTGGCATTATGCCAGTCTATGACAGTGGCAACCAATATGAATGCCAGTTCATGACCTGGCTGCTTCATTTATGATCCAGCTCGAGTGAATCAGTGGAAACATTTTTTCCTGTGTCTCTCCTCCCTGTTACTTTTTTCAAATGAATAAATCAAAATGAATTTTAAAATCACTAGTCTGGGGTGCTGGGACTGCTGCATCCTGGTTGGTGGAAACCAGCTGCTCACCTGTGGTGGCTGATGCTTTCCTCCCTGAGCAGGGTTATTATACACACATAGAGTAAAAAAGACAAGGCAATTCAGCTTATTAAATGGAATTGAGGGGCCAGTGCTGTTTGGTGTAGCAAGTTAAGCCTCCATCCTAAGTGCTGGCATTCCCATATGGATGTTAGTTCAAGTCCTGGATACTGCACTTCCAATCCAGTTCTCTGCTATTGTGAAAGCAGTTTAAGATGGTCCAAGTACTTGGGTCCCTACGTCTACATGGGAGACCCAGATATAGTTCCCAGCTCCTGAAAGATATCTTTTCTCTGCTGTAACTCTGCCTTTCAAATAAAATAAACCTTAAGGAAAAAATATTGAATAAAGTTTCTCCACAGCAGAAAGAACCACTAAGAATTTGTTTACCTACTTCGTAACTATATTAGGTAAAAGTTCATCAGTTCTAACATTGGCAACCAGAAAAATTAACAAAACCCCAGGAACGGACTCATGTATAGGATACAGCAGATTGTCTTGCTGGGAAAATTTAGCTAATCTCTTATTAGTCACTTGCGACCCCATGTTGTGGTGCAGTAGACTAAGCTGACACTTCTGATGCCAGTACCTTTTATCAGAGATTCAAGTACTGGTTGCTCTGCCTTTGATCCTTGCTAACATGCCTTGGAAAAGAGTGGATGATGCCCTAATTACTTAGGCCTCTACCACCAATTTCAGCTTTTTGGAAAGTGAACCAGGGGATAGAACCTCTCATCCTTGATGCCCTGCCTCTCTGTAACTGTTCCTTTTCAAACAAATAAATTAGTAATCAGTATAGAATATTTTCTTTTGTTGCATGCAGTCACACTGTGTCTAATAAGTAAACGATTATGTCTCTACCAGAACAGAAATTTCCCTTAGCAATAACAGTGGACAACTTCCCTAAAGTTTTTAATGCTAGTAGTATTTTGTTAACAGGATAATGCAATTCTGTTTGAACAAGATACATATACTGGGAGCCTTACTCATACAAAAGATGTTCAACTCAAGAATAAACTGTTTTTGTTATACAGAATATTTCATACTGCCTCAGTGTTAAAACATTTGGTGATATATCATTTCTTTAAAAATAAATACAAACTCTCACCACCAAGTCACCACGATTCAGATTTTTCAGTTAAATGGGGATATAGTCTTTATTTTTTTTTCATTTATTTTATTTTTGAATTTAATGATATCAATTCCCTTTCCACTCATACTTAAAGTTTTAAATGCAGTTCCAGAGAAAGCTGTCAAAGATCATTGGAATAATACTTTAATTGGCAGTGAAAGTCATTTAATAACAATGTTAGGAACAACTTATTTCGCATAACATAGTTCTTTTCACTCCCTATCTAAATCATATGTCAAATGAACACAATAAAAGTTAAAACTATCTTGCCCAAGTTTTTAGAGCATTGTTATGCCTATATATGTTGGTAAAAACTGATTAATGGTCTTATGGTTACTCCTTCAATGAGCATTTGAGGATATACACATAGTCTTATGAAACAGAAAAGCATAATTTTAATGTCACTCTCTTTACTAAGACTCGTTATATAACTCCATATGCTCCCAAACTTACCTTCTCATTTTTCTTGTCTGTCTCTGGCGGCTGTTTTGCTGTTACACTTCGAGGAGTGCGGACCACGTCATCCTCAGCCACGTCAACAGTCCGTCCATTTGGCTGCACGAACGAAAAGGGTATCATGTCAGCACAATGCCCAGCAGATCAACTAGTGTGACACTCAGGACAAAGCATAAACTACAGTCAAACCTTACCCTGACGCTAGGCAAAAGGGCTCTGTGCAGTAATGTCACCTCAAACATGGCGGACTACTTCCCCTAAACATGCTTTGTATTACAAATACAATTAACTTAGAAAAAAATTTCGAAGTAGTTTTTTTTTAAAAAAAAAATTATTCGAATATCAAACTCTCTTATAAAAGCAATGCAATAGAGGCAGCTAAAAGAAAAACAACTTTATTTGCATCCAGATGAATTAACTCCGTAATCTCAAAACATTTTGCTTATCGTCTTTGAGCCTTATTCTACATGTACAAAATCACAGCTTCGATCTAAACTACAAACACTTTCTGTTTTTTAAAAGACTTATTTTTATTTGAAGGGCAGATTTTACAGAGAGGAAAACAGAGAGGCCTTCCATCTGCTGGTTTGCTTCCCAACTGGTCGCAGCAGCTGAGCTGATCTGAACCCAGGACTAGGAGCCTCTCTCAGGTCTCCCATGTAGTTGCAGAGGCCCAATGACTTGGGTTATCTTCCTCTACCTTCCGAGGTCAAAACCAGGGAGCTGGACAGGAAGTGGAACAGCCAGGATATGAACCTATGATTCCATGGCAGAGGTTTAGTTTACTATGTCATGACATTGGTCCCAACAAACTTTTTCAATGTAGGGCCACAAAGAAATATTTTTGGCGTTGTGAACCAAATCATGTCTGTTATAGCTACTCAACTCTTCCAGAGCAGCACAGAAATAGCCATACACAACACAGAAACAAACACTGATTTCCAACACCTCCTGTAACTCCCTAATTTAATGTCTCTACTCTTCCGGGATGAAGCCTTATCTATCCATTGCACTGGCTTAAACAGGCTACACTTCATACTTTCCTAGCATCCCTAAAATAAAATGACAGCATTTACAGAAGTTCATGAGAAGTCTGTGATTTCCCAAACTGGCTTTTAATCAGTATTCTTTTGCTTCTTTAAAATAAATATTTCTGAAGCTTATAACCAGTAATGTATGCATACTGAGGATGAGGAAAAAAGGGATTATTCTCTCCCCCCAAGACCCTACTACCTGGTCTCACTTGTGCATTTTTCTCACACTCAATACCACACAAGCGGTAAATCAATGTAGCTATATAAAGTTTTAAGTACAATTTAAAAAATTTATTACTTTTATTAGAAAGGCAGATATACAGAATGGAGGACGGACAGTGAGAAAGATCTTCCATCTGCTGATTCACTCCTCAAGTTGCCACAACAGTTGGAGCTGAGCCCACCTGAAGCCAGGAGCCAGGAACTTTTTCCAGGTCTCTCATGAAGGGCAGGGTCCCAAGGCTTTGCACCATCCTCAACTGCTTTCCCAGGCAACAAGCAGAGAGCTGGATGGGAAGCGGGGCCTCTGGGACACGAACTGGTGCCTACATGGGATCCCTGCATATGCAAGGTGAGGACTTTAGCAACTAAGCTACTGTGCCAGGCCCTTAAGTACAGTTCTTGCAGAAGACTTCTATCAGACTGCCTCCTCACTACAGCAAAATTACCCAAGAAAAAGTTACAAATGTTCAAGATTTCTGTTCTGCATTTGTTTAAACTGATCAGGCATGCAGTTAGGAAAGACACCACTTACATTCTGAAATACAGCTGCGGATATTCCAAAGATCTGTGGCAGAAATCAAAACAAAAGCTGTTTTCTAGCAGCTCAAATTCCTAATTAACTCAAACTTAATCTGCTGTCTTAACCAACTCATTAAATCCAGCAGTGAACACTAAACCAGGTTTTCTTTGTCCTGTTCCATCACTTCAACGTTGCCTCTTCTGAGCTTCGGGATGCATGAGAGATCTTCAGAAAGTTCGGGGAGGAGGAGAAATTTAGTCTAGAGGTGCAGACAACGGTTAAGAAGCCTATATCCCATCCTGAAGCATCTGAGTTGGAAATGTGGCTCCAGGTCCTGATAAACATAAATGACTACGGCTCAAAGCACTAGGCCCCTGCATCACTCATGCTTATAGGGAGTGAGCCAGCAAATGGCAGGTCTCCTTAGTCACTCAAAACATTTAAAGTTCACAGAAATGCCTAGTATGAAAAAACATGCCTGGATTAAAAAGAAAAACTGAGCACCAAAATACTGAGCACCGAACTTTTAAAATAAAAGATTTATTTTTACTTGAAAAGCAGAGTTAAAGATACAGAAGACTCCCCAAATGCCTGCATTAGTTGGAGATGGGCCTAGTCTAAAATCAGGGGCAAGGAGTTTCTTACATTCTGCTAGGTGGCTACAGGGGTGCAAGGAGTTGGGACATCCTCTAGCTGCTTTCCTAAGCCACCAGCAGGGAGCTGGATTGAAGTGGAGCAGCTGGGACTTGAACTAATTTCCATGTGGGATGCCAGTGCTGCAGGTGGAGGCTTTGTTTGCGCCACGTTGCCAGCCCCTTCCACGCACTTTTGAAGTACTCTCACAGAGTGTGGTAGTTCACAGAGAAAGCAAGCAAAGCGGGCCCTGTGCTTTATACTGGGTTAACTCTGCTTTCTAACACATCACTTTCCTTGTCTATTCTCATAGGCTATTTTTTCATTCATACTATTCTCTCTAGCCAAAATTACCCTTTCTGGTGTCCTATGGTTAAATTTACCTTCTAGCCTTACACTATCGTAGCAATTCTGCAGCTCCAATTCTACAGTCTTCCACATCTTCAAATACCAGTTCCCAAGGGTTACATCTATGAAACTGTACTTACCTACTCTTTCCTGAAACTTCTCCATCAGTCATTTATATACCACCTCCAGTTTACTCATGCAAATCACTGCAGAGAATCACTTTATTTTACTAAATGCTACAAGCCCTGGGGACTGACTCCAGCTTCCTGTCAATGCAGACGCTGACAGGTGCTGGCAGTAGAGCCAACACTGGGTTCCTGTTGCCAATGCGGGAGACCTCAATTGAATTCCCACCTTCGGGTTTAGCTCCGCTGTTGCAGGTATTTGGGAACTGAAATAGGATAAGAGCTCTTGGATTGTGTCTCTCAAAACAAAACAAAAACTCAAGACTTTCAAAACCTTGAAAAGCAGCACGCTAATCAATAGTGAGGAAATGCAGTAAAAGTTAGTGTTTTGTAGGTTTACTGCTGTTCCTGTCCTCCAAGATCAGCAGCAATTAGTGAAGGTCTTTTATACTTTGCCTGACAGAATACAACAAAAAGACAAACAAGTGCCATCACATACCCAAACAAATGGAACCAAATTCTAGAACGTTCGCAAAGGTCATTTGGCCTAATTTTCAGCAGAAACTTCTGATTCTAAGGGTGAACTTTAAAACCAACAAAGTTCCTGATTTATGGTAACTAATATACAGAGTACAAATATCTCATATATATATGTGTGTGTGTATATATAGTGAAAGTGAGATTTTTTTACTGTTTGCAGTTCTTAACTATACTCTTGAGAAACAGGCCTGTCCCCTCAACTTACTGTTCAATTCCTTACTTAGTGGAGGGTTAGATTTGTGGTTGTAAAATATACTGAAATCATGTCACCATAAAAATTATAAGAAAAATTAGGAAGGGAGGAGGAGGCAGAGCGAGAGCATGGAAGTATCATTATGCTCCTAAATCTGTATATATGAAATACAAAAAATCTGTTCACCTTATGAAAATTCTTTAAAAAACTGAATTAAAAGAAAAAAAAAAAACATAACTCATTGGGAAAACTGAAACTCTCTCTGAATGGACTTTACTATCCTCAACATGCCACTGAAATCATAAGATACATGTACAGTAAAAATCAAGCAGCTGCACTGATTATCCTTGAATAATTCACTCATCTTTGAACCTGGAGATTATTCTGGTATAAAATTAAGAATATTTTATTTTACCTATCTCTTAGGAGTCTTGTCAAATTATTACTGTTTCAACAGTTAAAACTAGAGGGCTAGTGGCTTTTATAAGGCGGGAAGTGGTATCACTTACTTGTAATATGACCAGCTAGACTACTAGCTAAAAATAAGAACACAATTCTACTGAAAATGTATTAAGAAAAAATTATTTAGTCCAATAATCAATTTTTCCATTAAACTCTTGACATGTAATTTTAGTTGCTTCATTCAGCATTTAGCTTAACATATAATTTTCAAGGACTAGCACTGGGGCCTGGTGTGGTGGCTTAGTGGCTAAAGCCCTGCTTTGAGCACATCAGGATCCCATATAGGTGCCAGTTGTAATCCCAGCAGCCCTGCTTCCCATCCAGCTCCCTGCTTGTGGCCTGGGAAAGCAGTCGAAAATGGCCCAAAGCCTTGGGACCCTGTACCCACATGGGAGACTTGGTCCCTGGTTCCAGGCTTTGGATCAGCTCAGCCCAAGCTGTTGCAGTCACTTGGGGGATGAATCATCAGACGGGAGATCTTCCTCTCTATACATCTGACATAGCATTAATAAATCTTAAAAAAAAAGACTAGCACTGTTTGTGTTAGGTTTATAATCTACTAAGGAAGAAGACACTCAAAAAGAAAACAAAGTGCTGTGGCGTGGTAGGTTAAGCTTCTACCTGTGGCTCCTGTATCCCATACGGATGCTGCTTCATGTCCTGGCTGCTCTACTTCCGATCCCACACCCTGTTAATGGCCTGGTAAAGCAGCGGAGGATGACTAAAGAGTCTGGGCCCTGCACCCATGTGAAAGACCCAGAGGTGGCTCCTGGCTTCAGGCTCAGCTTGTCAGTGCAGACATCTGTGAAATGATGCAGTGGATGCACGAGCTCTATCTTTTCTTCTCTTTGTAACTGTGCTTTTCAAATAAAAATAAATCTTAAAACAAACAAAACAAAAAAAGTAAACAGGGCCTAGACCAGTAACCTAGCAGCTGAAGTCCTTCCCTTGAACGTGCTGGGATCCCATACGGGTGCTGGTTCTAATCCTGGCCACTCTGTTTCCCAACCAACTCCCTGCTT